AATGAGGAGTCAATGCCACCATAATGCTTACCTAAAGAGTTCAAATAATTTAGGAAATTATTTTCATCATTTGAAATTCAAATTTTGAATTTCAAATAGTTTCCTAAATTAGAAAGCTATTTTAGGAAAGTATTGAATCTCATTCATGAAATAATTCAAATTTAATTTGGGTGGAATTTTTCTTCTCCTAAATTAAAGAGACCATTTAGGAAAGGGTTTTAAATTTTCTCCACAAAACTCCCTCCTATCTTCCCCCACCAAAATGCAAATCACACATTGAATTCTTTCCATAAGTGTCCACTCTTAAATTGGGAAGATTTAATTTTCAAACTTCAAAGCAATTTGAAGTTATAAATTTCTTTCCTAATTTAATGAAACCTATTTTAGGAAAGTTCTTGAATTAAGTTCAATTTGAATTTGAAATTCAAAAGGATTTAATTAAAACCTTTCATATTCCCAATACACATATTAAGAAGCTATCAATCCACCTCATCAATCCTCCCCATGCTTGATTGTCACCGGCTCCTCTAGGGTGGTATTAGAAAATTGTTTCCTAAATCCCAAAATCTCTACTTAGGAAACAATTCAAACCTCATTAAATTTGGCCACAAAATCAGCCCCGCAAAGTGAAAATAATCCCCAAATCCTAGCCTTACCTGACCGCCTCCTACCCAGCAGCTTTGCTTGGATTATCTTCTCCCAATTCCTCCTATTCTTCTCCCGGTTTGGTGTTTCCTGCACCCTAAGTTTGCTGGCCAAAAATTTACAATCAGGAACTTTGCTGCCAGAACCCTCCTGTTGCTGTCCAGGACCTTCCCAAGTCCTCCAAGTGGTTGTCCCAAGTTTTCTACAAGACAAAACTGATGCCACAGCTGCTTTCCAGAGATTCCTGCAGCAGTTTGTTGCTGTCCAGCCCTTCTGGGAGCAACCGTGGCTGCCCGAAACTGTCCGGAATTGCTATCCCAGGTTGGCTACTTGCTGTCCAGAATTTCCCAAGTGTCAAAAGCTGATGTTTAAACTTCACGAGTTGCTCTTCAAGACCCATAAGACTGAAAACCTCCTTCCCGTTCTACATCATAATGCTTATATTCAAGTCATTAGGGATGTGTATATAAGAGTTGTTAGTTGTTACTTATGTTCAAACATAAGATGGTTTGACCAAGTATTTTCCTATTTCAGTTGGATTACATCAAGGATTAGCTTTAAGCCCTTATCTTTTTACTTTAGTCATGGATGTTCTTACTAGACATTTACAAGAGGATGAACACTGGTGTATGCTTTTTGTTGATGATATTCTTCTATTTATTAAGGCTAAAGAGGGAGTTGAAAGTAAACTTGAATTATGGAGATCAACCTTAGAGTTTAAAGGTTTTCGTTTGAGTAAATCTAAAATCGAATACATGGAATGTAATTTTAGTAATAATAGATCTAGTGGGGGTTTGTAACTTTGAGCAATCAAGTCATTAATAAGTGTACTCGTTTTAAATATCTTGAGTCTATTGTTCAGAGTGATGGTAAAATAGATCGGGATAGTATTAGTAGAATTAAACTTCGATGGTCAAAGTTGAAGAATGCTTCGGGTTTGTTGTGTGATAGAAAAGTACCACTCAAACTTAAGGGAAATTTTTATAAGATGGTGAGACCATGCTTTATGGCGTAGAATGTTGGCCATTAAAAAAGAAGCATAATAATAAGTTAAGTGTGCAGAGATGAGGATGCTCAAGTGGATGAGTAGATTTACTCTTAGAGATAGGACATGTAACGAGCATATCGGTGAAAAGTTTGGAGTAGCTCCAGTGACAAATAAGATTAGAGAGAATTGGTTTAAATGGTTTGGTCATGTAAAACGGCAGCCTTCTGATGAACCTGTTAGGAGAATAGATGTATTAGATTTGGCCTATGTTAAAAAAAAATAAAGGTAGACCAAAAAATACTTGAATAGAAAATATTAGAAATGACATTTCTTTATTATATTTAAATGAGAATTTGACTCTTAACGTGACACAATGAAGAAAAATGATTCATTTAGCCGACCTCACATAGTGGGATAAAAGCTTGATGTTGTTTTTTTACTATATTTATTCGTAGCAATTTTTATGTTCATGTATTTGATACATCGGCAACCCTTGGGGGACCTAGTAAAACATTAATTCATTATGTAATAAGAGGTATTCTTGTTTGATAGTGGTCGTCCACTTTGACTTCACATTGCATTCATTTTGCTTTAGGCAAACAAAAAATAATAATCACGTGCATTTTTTTTTATCCTCATCCAAACAACTTAAAATATTTCAAATACAAGAAATTCCCTTTACAATGCATTCTTGTTACTCTGCATTTCTTTTTCAACAAACCAACCAAGTAAAATGGTAATCTAAGCACGTCATTGTCTAAGAAATGCAGCAGTATGTATTTGGATATCAATTTCATTTAGCACTATTGGCCAAAAAAATCAAGACAGAAGATGATGATGAAGATATGGCACTATTAGATAACTTTCACCAATATCAAAATCCAACCTAGAGCATTGAATTTTTACAAATTAAATTTTGCTAAAATATCCGACCTATATAGCTTAAAAAGTTCATTTTTACTATAGATTATTTATTTTGTGTATTTTCATTTGCCTATAGATGCCAGAAGGCGTAGAAAAAGGCATTATAATGCCAACAAGATAAAGCTTTAGTTTTTCATTTGGTTCTTGCTACTTTTGAACTTGTTCTAAAAGTACTTCATGAATTGGATTTTATCAAGTGATAAAATTAACTGTAAAATTTCATAATCATCATTAATGATCTTCCAATGATTTGGGTCATTCTCCATTCATTTTTTACTAATGTTGCTTAATCACCATCATCAGCATCCTCTCAGCTAATTGTGCAATTTTAACTTAAAAAATTAAGCACCTGCAATAAAGATATATTTTTTTTCCTTTCTACACACTCAATTCCATATTACGATTAGTAAAGGAGAAGAAGAAGGCTTGCACCAAACAATCACTTTTATTTTAAAGTTTCCTTGCTCACTTTTAATTAAACAAAGGTACCAATCTGATAGTTCGTTATGCATATCAAAACATAGAATAAAAAAACATAGGAAAAACTGGAGAAGAAACATGAAAGATTTTGGATAGAAGTACATGAATCTGTTTGTGGGAGACCATGAGTTTGACACGAGATGAGGAAATGCTGGAGCATTGTGGGGTCAAAAATAAAAAGAATTCCAGGAGGCTGCATTCCCAAGCTTCCATTCATATTAGCACAAAGAACGTACAGGAAGTACATTTTTAAAAAAGCAAAATAAGTAACCTGAAAAGAAACTAAATTTCAATTGTGCGTGTCTGTATGTGCATGCAGGCATGCATGTGCAAGTTTAGGGAGATGCAAAGTTGCTAAAAGCTCAAAAACTAAGCCATAAGCAGTGAAATTGTGGTAACTTTAACTGAAAATGAAGCTTTCATTGGGTAGGACCTCAGATTTTGCAAATCAAGAGAACATAAGCAACAAAAACAAGAAAGGCAGTGCGTGAGGTCGCGGGAATGGAGTACGTCACAGGTAAAGTAATGACATAAAGCAAATGGACAAGTTTGGAGCACTATGATATATGTTATCAAATCCACTATTAACATCACGCCTGAATCTATGATTTACGAGAAGGAAGTTACTTACTAAAGGATTGATTTTGTTTGAATCACTCCCCAGTTTGTTCATAGCATCACGCATGCATGCAAGATCCACAACAGCTGGAACGCCAGTAAAATCCTGCAAGGAGTTAAGTTACTCTAAGCACAAGAATAGTAGAATTGAGTTCATTATTAACTATAGCAAAATTTACTGAAGAACCTTCTTAACGGTCCTCTCACACAGCCTCTAATAAGTAAACCAGTTTAATATCGTTACAGAAAAATGTATTCCACCCAAAAAGCAGGCGAGCTAGCTACATGACAAGACAAAAGAAACCACTTCAAATAGAAATCTTGAAGCATGGCTACAAAGGTGATTTACCCAATACGTGATTGCATTAAAAGTTGCAGCCTTCATATTTGCATTACCTATAACTTGTAAGCTTTCATCGTTACATTTCTCTTTTCATTTCAACCTAATCGTTACATGTCTCTTTTCATTGAATGGAAAGAATTACCTAAATTGATCAAAATTGGTGTGTATCTTCCTCAAGGGAAGAAGAAAATTAGGTCATTTGCTTGGTATCAACAAGGCAATCCCATATGAAATACTTGGGATGAATATGACTTTGTGGTAATGTCATGGTTATGGTTATGAAATTCTATGATTCCTAAAATAAGTGAAACATTTGTGTTCCTTCCTTCAACAAAGAAAATTTATGATATATTAAATTAAATGTATTTGAAAGTTCTTGATACAAATTAAATATGTGAGATCAAAACAAATATATTGGCCACCAAGCAAGGATGACAATCCATCACATGTTTCTTTAGTTCAACTACAAGGCATTTAGAAAGAGATAAATCATTATAAATGCATCCAAATGAAATGCAATAAAAATGTAGCCCATGTTAAAACACTTGTTAAAAAGGACCAAGTTCAAAATTTTCTTATTGAATTAAATGTTGTGTTTGATGATGTAAATGTACAAATTCTATAAACGAGGATTTCTATTTCCTAAATGAAGTCATTTCCATAATTTGAAGGGGAGTAGGAGAGTTATGATTTCCAATAACCCATAGATGTTTTGGCCCTAAATCCCATATCCTGAATTATTGATTCAGGTGTGAAAAAAAAAACAATCTCCATCAATTCCACTTCCATCAATGTTCTACCAAGCTCAATAGTCCATCACCTTTCATATTTACTTCATGTCACCTCAATGATCCATAAAATTAATAGTCATCTCATCAATCTATGGATTATTATAATTAATTTATAATTATTATTCAACCAACTCATCAAAACGTGGACTATTGTAATTATTCTTTCCCAATTTTTGGTGTTTCCTATTAGATACTCTCCTAGGATGACGCCGGAGCGTAATGCTGGCATACGCTACACCATTCTAACAACTTCAGATTTTATAGTTCAATTTTTGTTTTAGTTTGTATTTGTCTGTGTAGCTTTTGTATAGCTGGAAGTAATTGCTTTTATCGTATTTTCTTGTATTCGGCATACTAGTATATAAGAAGGTAATTACCTCCTGAATAAAGACAGAAAGCTTTGATTGGTATTATCCCATTTCCCCTTATTGGTTTGTCTGTATCCTGACCCTCCCGTCAGGTGGTGGTCCTCCTCTTCCGACAAGCCTAACTCCTTAGGCGGCGTGAAGGGAAGAGGTTAAAGAAGAGCTTCCCCGCTCTTCTTGCATCATCCTCGCCATTCGTCCCGGTGACGAGTAACGTCCGGTGTCAAGTGGTATCAGAGCCGGCAAGATGCCGCCTCGCCGGAATCCTCAAAGGCCAGTTCAAGAAGTCGTAATTGAAGACCTCTAGAGGGAGATCGCCCAGCTGCAAGAAAGATTGGCTAGATGTGAACAGAGAGATCCCATGGTTCCACCGCAGGAGGAAGAAGACATCAACCCGTTTCACCAAGAAGGTTCAAGTGATGAAGAAGTGGACAAAAGGACGGGGGGCCGAAACAACCGGAGGACGACCTCCGATTATGGAATTAAAATGGAGTTACCTGAGTTCGATGGCCGAATGGACCCTGATGAATTCATCGGGTGGTTACAAACTGTAGAACGGATTCTTGACTTCAAAGAAGTCCCAGCAGATCGAATCGTCAAACTTGTAGCTATCAAACTCAAGCGAGCAGCATCTCTTTGGTGGGAGAACGTGAAAAGATCAAGAAATCGTGAAGGAAGAAGCAAGATAGTGTCCTGGCCGAAGATGAAGAAAGAAATGCAGCGTAAATATGTCCCCGAACAGTACAAGCAAGATTTATATCTCAGATTTTCACAATTGCAACAACAACAAATGACGGTGGAGGAATATATATCTGAATTTGAACAACTGTCTGTGAAATGTGATGTAGCCGAGCCTGAAGAACACACTGTAGCTCGTTTCCTGGGCGGACTACAACCCTCCATTTCCAATGTGGTACAGTTGCAGCCATATTGGACCTTTCAAGACGTTGTTAACTTGGCCTTGAAAGTAGAAAAACAACAAGCACGCTTCAAGAAAGCCAACTCCAGGAATGTAGCAACGGACCCATTTAATGACAAAGAAACTATCAAGAATAACAAAACTATGGCTGGACCCAGCCGACAGCCGGAAGAGTCACCAGTGCGAGGACCACCACGCATTACTCCATCGCAAGCCTCTTTTCCGGCTCGCAAGTGCTTCAAATGCCAAGGATTTGGACACATTGCGTCGAATTGTCCAAACCGCCGGGTGATTACTCTAATGGAAGAATTGGAAACCGGAGAGCCCACTGATGAAGCCACAATCCTTAAATCTGAGAATTCTACGGTTGCTGAGCCAATGTATTTAAAAGGGGATGAAGGAACTTTACTCGTTTTGAAACAATCATTGAATGCACACAGGGGAGATTCCTGGTTGCGACACAGTATTTTTCGGACTCGGTGTACAGTTAAAGATCGCGTGTGTAATGTGATCATAGATAGTGGAAGCTGCGAGAATGTTGTGGCCGCTCTCATGGTGGATAAATTGCAACTTGCCACAACTGATCATCCAAAGCCATATTCTCTTTCGTGGATACAGAAGAATGCCGAGGTCCAGGTGAACAAACGATGTATGGTAGATTTTTCCATCGGCCAGTTTCAAGACAGTGTTTTGTGTGACGTTGTTCCAATGGATGCATGCCATTTACTGTTAGGCCGACCATGGCAATTCGACAAGGATACTGTGCACCACGGAACCGCAAATACGTACTCCTTTATACACAGTGATCAACAGATCGTGCTATTACCTTCTTTGGTATTGGAAACAGAAGATTCGTCATCCACTTCGCTGTTCAACAAGGGTCTGTTCATGCAAGACCTTAGAATTGCTCAGCAAGGTTTCTTTTTGATTCTCCTGGAAGAGAATTCCTCTGGTCAAAGTTTACCAGAAGTAATTCGACCATTGCTCCAGCAGTATGAAGACATTCTCCTACAAGAGTTGCCTTCGGGATTACCTCCTCTACGTGAGGTTCAACACCACATGGAGCTCGTACCAGGTGCCGTCTTGCCCAACCGACCAGCTTACCGACTCCGGCCAGACGAACACCAGGAATTACAGCGACAAATCGATGAGTTACTGGACAAAGGTTTTATTCGTCCCAGCTCCAGCCCATGCGCCGTCCCAGCACTTTTGGTCCCAAAAAAAGATGGCACCTACCGTATGTGTATCGACAGCCGCGCCATCAACAAAATAACCATAAAATACCGTTTCCCCATACCGCGTTTAGATGACATCTTCGACCAATTACATGGAGCAACAATATTTTCAAAAATTGATCTAAGAAGCGGGTACCATCAAATACGGGTGCGACCGGGAGACGAATGGAAAACGGCTTTCAAAACACGAGAAGGCTTGTACGAGTGGACTGTGATGCCATTTGGCGTCTCTAATGCTCCTAGTACCTTCATGCGGCTTATGAACCAGGTATTTCGTCCCCTCATGAATCAATGTGTGGTTATTTATTTCGACGACATTCTTGTATATAGTTCCAATGTGGATGCCCATCTCCTGCACCTTCAACGTGTCTTCGATATTCTCCGGGAGCAACGTTTATTTGCTAATCCATTAAAGTGCCAATACTTGACGGACAAAATATCGTTCTTGGGGTTTGTCATCTCCTCGGCAGGAATCGAGGCCGATCCAAGTAAAGTAGAGGCCATTGTCCAGTGGCCAATACCACGATCTTTCACTGAAGTTCGCCAATTCCATGGACTCGCGTCTTTTTACCGCAGGTTCATAAAGAACTTCAGCTCGATGGCTGCGCCTATCACCGAATTACTCAAGGCAGAGCGCTTCCAGTGGACTTCCTCAGCCCAGAAAGGATTCGAGCACCTTAAGCACGCAGTGTCAACTGCGCCCGTCTTGACCTTGCCTGATTTCACTGAGGTATTTGAGTTAGATTGTGATGCTTCAAACTCCGGAATCGGTGCTGTTCTCAGTCAGAAAGGACACCCTATCGCTTTTTTTAGCGAGAAATTAAATGAAGCACGGCAAAAATATTCCGTCTATGATAAAGAATTTTATGCTATTATAAGAGCATTACATCATTGGGAACATTATCTGCTTCCCCATGAGTTTATTCTATTCACAGACCATGAGGCATTGCGATTTATCAACAGTCAGAAGAAATTAAAAGGCCGACATGCCGCTTGGGTCGAGTATTTAGGGGCCTATCAATTTGTGCTAAAGCATAAGTCAGGCAAGAGCAACCAAGTGGCTGATGCACTCAGTCGACGGCTGGCCTTAATCCAAACCTTACAAACAAAGGTAACGGGATTTGAACTACTCAAGGAGCTGTACCCAGAAGATCCAGATTTTGGCAGCATTTGGCTTCGGTGCCAAGACGGACCATACCAATTCTATCACAGGCAGCATGACCATCTGTTTTTCGGGAATCAACTGTGCATTCCGCAGGGGTCTACCCGCCTAGCCATCATCAGTGAGTGTCACGAATCAGGAATGGCTGGCCATTTTGGGAGAGACAAGACCCTTGCTTTAATTAAGGAAAATTTCTACTGGCCTCTTCTATCCAGGGATGTAGAGCGGTTCATTAAAAGGTGCCGAGTTTGTGTCACAGCAAAAACTCAGAGCCAAAAACTGGGACTATATACTCCCCTACCCGTTCCTGAAGGGCCATGGATCGACGTGAGCCTAGACTTTGTATTAGGCCTTCCTCGGACACAACGAAACAAAGATTCGATTATGGTCGTTGTGGACCGTTTCTCCAAAATGTCCCATTTCATACCATGCAGCAAAACATTGGATGCCACACACGTCGCTGATCTATATTTCCGAGAAATAGTACGACTACATGGTATCCCCAGGACCATTACATCAGACCGAGATGTTAAATTCTTGAGTCATTTCTGGAAGACATTATGGAGCAAATTAGGGACCAAACTCCAATTCAATTCTACCGCCCATCCTCAAACGGATGGTCAAACGGAGACTGTCAACAGAAGTCTAGGCAATCTATTACGGTGCTTTGTGGGAAAGAACTTGCGACAGTGGGACTTGGTGTTGCCGCAAGTGGAGTTTGCTTTTAACAGGTCTACCAATCAAGCAACAGGGCATAGTCCCTTTCAAACAGTTTATGGAAATAACCCACTATCACCTGTAGATCTCATTCCTCAAGTGCCAGTTAGCAATTTTAGCACCGAAGGAAACAAACGTAGTGAAGAAATAAAACAGCTACATCAGAAGGTGCAAGAAATGATCCACACTCATAATAAGAAATGTCAGAATATTGCTAATCGGACCCGCAAGGCAGTACAGTTCAACGAGGGAGACAAAGTGTGGATCCGGCTCCGAAAAGAACGATTTCCGCCTGGTGCATTCGGTAAGTTAAAACCGAAGGCGGACGGTCCTTTCAGAATTCTCAAACGGATTGGCGATAATGCTTACCAAATCGAACTACCAGGCGACTACAATGTTTCTGCCACTTTCAACGTGGCGGATCTCTCACCTTATTACGAACCTGAAGTTCCTCCTACCCCGGTAGCCTGACGCCGGAGCGTAATGCTGGCATACGCTACACCATTCTAACAACTTCAGATTTTATAGTTCAATCTTTGTTTTAGTTTGTATTTGTCTGTGTAGCTTTTGTATAGCTGGAAGTAATTGCTTTTATCGTATTTTCTTGTATTCGGCATACTAGTATATAAGAAGGTAATTACCTCCTGAATAAAGACAGAAAGCTTTGATTGGTATTATCCCATTTCCCCTTATTGGTTTGTCTGTATCCTGACCCTCCCGTCAGGTGGTGGTCCTCCTCTTCCGACAAGCCTAACTCCTTAGGCGGCGTGAAGGGAAGAGGTTAAAGAAGAGCTTCCCCGCTCTTCTTGCATCATCCTCGCCATTCGTCCCGGTGACGAGTAATGTCCGGTGTCATAGGATTATATAAATACTATACAAATGTTAGAATGAAATATGCAACCAATTCTTATCAGTCCTTGTCACATATTTGTCATGTTTTTGCAAGCCTAGCAAGGGACTATTGGTCCTGTGTTAGCCAACAAGCCCTCTGCATAGCAATCATGGGGTCAATCTCAACTCAATCACTAAAAATTAAATCCTTGCTAATTGCCTGTATATGCACAGCTTCCAGATCACAAGAAGCGCTCTTTGCATAACAATAATTTGTGTAAAGGTACTTAAGACTTAGAGGGCATTGCAACTTGAACTATTACCTGTACTCATTGTCAATCTTATCAAAACAAAATCAAAGTTCTTCAAGGAAGACGCTCATTTGATTTAAGTTTAATGCTCACCACCAATCCCATCAAAACAAAATCAAAGTAATTCACGGAAGACGCTAATTTGACGCTTCAGAGAAGATGAGTATTAAAAGTTTCTGAATAGAGATAATTATAAACAGCAGAACATATAAGATTGATGCTTTTCAGAACCATTTATTTTCCAACCAATATCTTCAAATATGCATAGCATGCATTTTTCATTGTTCTGTAAAACATTCTTATAAACTACCAAAAAAAGTAATAATAATAATTGCTGTCAAAACATCATTGGATCATTAGGCGTAAATCACAATGAATTTAAAAAAGATTTTAGCATAAAAGAATGCACAGTAATTAACGACAGGGATGCATATATTCTCGAAAGGACAGCAACTCGACAAGTTGGGAAAATTTCAGCAAAAGTATAGCAGGAGAAGCAATCCCAAATCAATCAAGCATTTGGACTGTGACGCCAGAAGCCAACCTGAAGAAGAACTCGCGCAGGCTTGAACGGAATCTCCACCTGCTTCGGCGCAGAACTCTCCCACTCGATAATCTTCTCCACATCCTTCTCCGACACCTGAAACTCATCACAGTTCCTAATCGCCGATTCCAACAGAATCCTGATCGAGAATGGCAGTCGATCTGCACGCACCACCACCGTCAACCAAATAGATGAGTAACTACTCCAAGTCACTCAAAGAAATAAAATATTACATGTATTAAAAAAAGAAGTAAATAATTAAAAATAGTGGCCAAGGCCCAAGATGAAATGAATTTACTTGTGCTAAGCCTAGTAAAAGGACCATTTTCCTATCCAAAAAGCCGAACCTATAACACTCCAAACAACAATACTCCATTGCAGAACTCACCGATCCTTGGATCATTGAGCGCAGGCAGGCTGTAGTACTTCCCAAACTCCCCGCCACCGGGCTTCGCCAGCGGCGTCAGGATGCCCTCGTACGAGTTCTGCGTAGCTGCCGATTAAAAAAATATATCAGATCTCAGATTACGCAGACAAATGACAGATATGTGGGTTTCACCCGCTGTTGCGAAGCGGCGCTCAAACCGATCGGCGACGGCGGCGGAGGATCGAACGGCGGCACGGTGACTCAGAGGGAATCTCCAATCGTGGAAGTGACGAGCACCGGCCGGAGAAGGGAGACAGGCAGTGAATCCAGCGGTGGGGTTCGTGGAAGGGAATAAGGAGATGCAGCTGTAGCGGTTCGATACAGCGGAAAGGGAGGAGGAGAGGCGAGATTGAGATCTCACGAGCGCCGCAGCGATTGGCGCCATGTTTGCTTCCCTCCTCCGGGAATAGATTGGTGAAAATCCTGACAAGGCGGTGGAGAGTGCCAGGGAGGAGAGAGGGTAACGAGGACAAGTTGATTGAAGAGACGTAGAAGACAGACGCGTGGAGGGAGCACGCCTTGCGTTAATTTTTTTTTTTTTTTTTTTTTTTGGGACATTTAGGCCATTTAAGGCAAACTCACACACAACGCATACACATGGACTCGAACCTTGGACCTCTTAGTTGGAAGCCTAAGCTCTCAACCAATAGGCCAAGGGGAATTGTGTGCCTTGTATTAATTGAAATCACCTGACTTGTCATGACTTGCCAACATCGATTCAAACAAGATTTGGATAATGTTTGAACAAAGGTTAAATCATATTGCATCGAGTGAAAACTGTCGCATTCAGAGTTTCAAATAATGCAAAATTCTTAATAAACCACAATCATAAATCATATTGTATGATGCATGAGGGTTGGGGTGTCAATTCGGGTCAACGGATCAGTTTCCGGTCGAATTCGAAACTGATCCGGCACTATTCGGGTCAACCCGAAATTGACCCGTTTTTAAAACCGGGTCAGGTTTTTAGACCCGAACCCGACCCTATTCGAGTCCGGGTCAACCCGACCTGACACTAATGACCCGAAGTTGACCTAAAATTTCTAATTTTCTAGTCAAAAATCGGGTCAATCTTCAATTTTCGGGTCAAAATTGGGTCAAAAATGGGTCAATCTCGGGTTTTCGGGTCAAATAGGAGTTTTCATGTCAATTTCGGATCAATTTCAGGTTGTTGGGTCAACCCGAACCCGACCCAATTTTTAAAACGGGTTGATTTGTTGAACCCGAACCCAACTCGTTTCAGGTCCGAGTTGACCCTAACCAGGATTTTTTTGTGTCAGGTTTGGATCGTGTTTCGGGTCGTGTCAAAAATTGACACTCCTACATAATGGAGACAGCTAATTCTCAGTATTATTATTTAAGCATTTTTCTCTTCTTAAAGGAAAAATAAATAATAACATGTCTAGACTATAGCTTTCGATCCCTTTGCTGAAACCCTAAACTCGTTTCGGGTCCGGGTTGACCCTAACCAGGATTTTTTCGTGTCAGGTTTGGATCGTGTTTCGGATCGTGTCAAAAATTGACACTCCTACATAATGGAGACAGCTAATTCTCAGTATTATTATTTAAGCATTTTTCTCTTCTTAAAGGAAAAATAAATAATAACATGTCTAGACTGTAGCTTTCGATCCCTTTGCTGAAGCCCAAATAGGTATAAACATAAGCTACCACCCCCCCAATAAAGTTTCTTTAAAAAATACTAAGGAACTTAGCTTCCCATTCAAACATGATAGTCTTAGGATATAATGAAGTTGGCTATCTCCCATAAATAAAGATCAGTGACATGTGTGGCATTAAGCATCATGATATAAGGAATAAAATGCGCCATTTTAGAGAATAGATAGATGACCACCATGATTAAATCATTTTTTCACTAAGTAAAATAAAGTTAAACGAAAAAATTCAAGCTAACAATAATCCAGTGAGAGTTTGGAATAGGAAGGGGCATATATAATCCTATATTTGACCTTAGGTATAAGTGAGTCGATCAATCTGATACTATTTAACATAGTGACCCACATCTTTTATCAATGAAATGTAAAAGAACTTTTTTTTTTGGATAAGTACCAATGTTTTTTCTCGACCAAAATGTCCGACCAAATCCCCATCTTGACATTCAAATAATATGGTGTCTATAGTGGTACTTTGTCAAGTGCAAAGATTATTAACAATAGAAGATATCCCTCATCTTTACGAAAAAGATGATGAGCTCCCATGCATGTGGCATTTATCTCAAATATGCTAGAAATCAACATCACTAATATAAAGTTGCTTCAAAATCTCAAAGCCCACCATAAGGGCTTGTAAGGTGTTAAGTTGCTAATGCCACTGGCTAAGGGCATCAACAACTAGATTGCACTTTTTAAATTTGTGTTTCAGAATATAATGGAAGGAAGAATGATATTCAACCCAATTATTGTGCCTTCATTTTAACTTCTTTTGGCTGTCGATAAATTTTAGCAACTTATGGTTTGAAAATAAAACAAACATGTTGTCAAGCATAAAATGACTCCAATGAGGTAGATCCCAAACCATGGCATAGAATCCATTACCGTAGGTAGAATACATTAGCTAGGAATTGATAAGAATTTTGCTGAAAATGTGATAGGATGAGCTTGTTAGCTCAACACCGTGCCAATGCCCACTTTGGAAGCATTGTATTTTACTTCAAATTCCTGGTCAAAATAATGTAAATGCAATACCGGTGGATGTAACTTATTGTTTCAATTTATCAAAATTGGATTGAACTTTTTTTTTTCAATGGAAGCCTTTTGCCTTGAGCAACTCAATTAGTGGATGAGCAAGGGAGTTGAAGTTGTTAAGAAAGCAATGATAAAAAAAATGATAATCCATGGAAACTCTACATATCCATGAAAGATTATGAAATTGACCACCCCAAAATAGTGTCGACCTTCACCATGTCCATCTTAATTCCTATAGGAGAAATTAAAAATACCAAAAAAATCTCTTTTATTAATCAAGCACGGACTCTTTTTTGTTAGTAAATAATAATTGTACACTGAGCACTTAAAAAATAAGTCAGAGATGCTAAAGATGCTCATCCACAGTACAATTGTATGTGAGAATGTCATCTAAGTAAATCACAACACATCTGTTCCAAAATGCTTAAAAATCTTGGTATTGTACAACGTGAATCGAATCACCATCCACAAGTATAAACCATCACAAGTCATGAATGCCATCTTCCAATCATCTCTAGCTCACATTTAGATTTTATGATATACACTTTATAATAACTCAAACATGTGAAATAAATTTATTTGAAAAATATAAACATTCTAAAGTAGAGCCCTTTAGTATTGATCGGATGAGCGTTGTGATGCTAGGCCATGAATATATGTATATATATATTCATATATATACCCCACCGACTCACTTGTTTGGTTACCTTGGCCAGGAAGAAATTGGAAGAGGAAAGAAGTGAGAGAAGAGAGAAAGGTCTTTGGACATGTTTATTAGTCATTCATGTTACAGATTTTATTCTATTAATTATAAGTGATTAATCTATTACTCTTATTTTCAATGGAATTAAATTTTTATGAATTTCATCTCTCTTAAATATGTTAAAATGCACTATCTCTTGATCTCATAAGTTTTCACTGTTTAACCTATGATATGTTATAAATTTAATCATTTTGAATATTTTGATATAATTTTATTGCATTTTAAATGAAATAATGAATGATAACATATACATGATATGATAACTCCAAGTGATACCATATTGATCCATGCGATTCACTGATTGAGAGTTATAAGGATTTGGAGATTGATTGAGATTTATAAAGAGTCGGACGACTGATTCACGTGATTCAATGGGAGTTATAAGAAGTAGATTCATTATTTGTTATAAGAAGGGACTAATTATGAGTCATAAGTAGTGCAGGAGCCAGATATCCTTAAGATACACTCATTGAATATCTAAATATTGATATCAGCATTGCTATGAACACTGTACTGGTATTATTATTGACACTAATACTATTAATTATTTTTTAATAATATTTAATATTATTGATCATGATATTAATATTATTACAAGCATTAGTATTATTAATTGATGATATAATGAATTAAGATGTGTTAAAGTATCAAAGAATAAATTGATACAGTATAGACATTGGTGTATATATTTTCTTTTATAATTTATAGTATATTGTTTTCTTTTATTTTGTATTGATTTCAATTGTAAGATTTTAGTTACTTGCTGAGCTATGTGTTATTATGTTATTTTATACATTTTCAAAAAAGGATAAGGATCTTATTATATGAGGCTCTGAACGATATGCATAATTTTTCTACCTACAATTCTAGACAAAATACAATCATGTTTATTTCTGCTATTCATTGGTAAACTCTAGTTAAAATAAAAGACTGGTGTAATTCTTTCAATATAGATCTTCATGTGTGACACTCAATCCTGTAAATGTTATTGAACCATGTAATTGATCGAATAGTTTGTCTACTTAAAGAAAATGAAATTGGTATTTCATTATTAATTTTTTTAAATAGAGATCACAAAAGTATTCATTCCTAGGTTGTATTACTGCCAACTTCTTTCTTTAATGGTTATAAGATAATTTAACTACCTTTATTAACTAAAGAGTAGGTTTATTCCACCCATTATGTATTGTCTATTGGCCCTAGTGTTATTGTTATCCCAGCAAAAATGGCATCCATTCATTGGAACAATTATTAGGTCCGGTGACCGGACGTAGCTCTACGTGCGGTCACCACTGAGATCGCGCCACGTGCTCTTACTCTTTACCTCGCAGCCCGATGACTTGACCCAGACCGAAACCCGGGAATGCTATGTTCACGTATTGCTAGGTATTACTCAGTATTTGCTCGATATTGCTCGGTATTGCTAGGTATTGCTTGGCAATAACGAGAAATACCACTCTGTGAAGACCAATACTGAGCAATACCGAGCAATAGCGAGTAATACCGAGTTTTTCTAGAAAAACTCGGTATTGCTCGGTATTTGTCTTCACATAAGGGTATTTCTCATTATTGTCGAGTAAAATCGACAAATACCTAGCAATACATAGCAATGTCGGGTTATCATGGATTTAAAAAACGCACGTGTGACATACCCACTATTCGCCAGGTCGGGTCCGCGATTTTGGGCCAACTACGTGGCCCGATCTCAGTGGTGACCGTATGTAGAGCTATGTCCGGTCAACAGACCTAATAATTATTCACATTCATTGGAACTATGTCACACCAAACTTATTCTTGAAAGTTACAATTAAAAAATTGACTAAATATCATTCGAACATATAAACTCTAGGTCTTTTTAACCAAGACAACTTGAAAGTATAGGGATATTTTTGAGTGATAAATTTCATTTTTTTTTCCACCATCGACATGGCCTCCAAATTCTCACAACTTCCACTCTCTACAGTTAGTTGGCATAACATTCCTTGAATTGTGCAATGTGTGTAAAATATAGTAAGACACTATTATTGC